TGTGTGTGTGTGTGTGTGTGTGTGTCTGTGTCTGTGTGTGTGTGTCTGTGTCTGTGTGTGTGTGTTTCTGTGTGTGTGTGTGCTTCTGTGTGTGAGTGTGTGTTTCTGTGAGTGTGTGTTTCTGTGTGTGTGTCTGTATCTGTGTGTGTGTCTGTATCTGTGTGTGTGTGTGTGTCTGTGTGTGTGTGTTTCTGTGTGTGTGTCTGTATCTGTGTGTGTGTGTGTGTGTCTGTGTGTGTGTGTGTTTTTGTGTGTGTGTGTGTTTCTGTGTGTATGTGTGTGTGTTTCTGTGTTCATGTGTGTGTGAGTGTGTGTGTACGTGTGTGTGTGTGTGTGTGTGTTTCTGTCTGCATGTGTGTGTTTCTGTGTGCGTGTGTGTGTGTGTTTCTGTGTGTGAGTGTCTGTGTGTATGTGTGCGTGTGTGTGGCAATCGCCATGTGCCCCATGGATGTTGTAATACAAGCAGACCCACAAAGCAGCAGTGGCAGGGTGAGGCTGGGCAAGTCCTTATCCATCTCAGGTCAGCAGGGATGTACATATATAATTTGCAAGCGAGGAAGAGAAGCCGCCTTTAGGATCTGGATAGCTCTCTGGGTGTTGCATAGTTGGTGGCTCCTTGGCCCCTCTGTCAATGCTTCAAGTGGCCATGACAACATTTGCAGAACCCACCAGAATGCAGGACCCTCCCAGGCGTAAGGCTGTCCGAGGACGGCCACCAAGGCCTTCACAGTCACTGGGGAAGAATCAGCAACTCCCTCCACCGGAGCTGTGGGTGCATAAGTTTCAGCTCATTGGAGCACTCGCAGGAAAGTTAATAAGGACACCAAGAGAAACTTGGATTCTTGGGTGTTTTGACTTTGCACTTATTAGTGCACTTTGTAAAATAGTGCCATTCAATTAATAATAGTCTCACTGTTGTTAGTCACCCACGCTTTCTTACTGCCTTATTAGTTGTCATCTTCACTGTCTCTCTCACTCACTGCATGGACAGACGGTGTTGGAACAGACAATGTTGGTCATCCCTACGGCTTTGTGAGTGTGCTTGTCACCCCTTGTGTCTCAGCTCTTCCTGAAGCATGGCACACAAGTTGGCATCCCTGGAAAGCCTTTGTCTTCACAGGCACTGCTGTCTGGAAATGTTATTGTAGACTTTCTCTGAGGGATAGGCATTTACTGGTGCAGGCGGTTCCTCCCCTTCTCACTCCTCTCCAATCAGCCGGTGAATCTTGGTCCCTTTTCTACTGCAGTCATTCCTGCTGCTGCTGCTGCCTGCTTCGTCTCCCTGTACTGCCCTCGTCATCACGATCGGTGTATCAGTCCCATATGTCTCCTCCTTTCGTGTGCCATCCTTACTGTTGAACTCCCCAGAATCTTGCCCTTGCTCCCTTTTGATCATGTGGCACTGCTGATCTGCATCCCTTGTAGATTGCCCACTCCACCCGTTTTAGCTCATGCCTTTGTAGGAACCCCATAAGAAGTTGGTCCCACTCTTAGAGGCCTCCTACTTTCGGCCACCTCTGACCCCTGCTGCATGCTCATCAAACCTGAGCCAATGAAAACTCATACCAGACACTCACACCACCAATGGAAACATCACCACCTGCAAGTTCTCCACCAAGCCACTCACCATCCTGACTTGGAAATATATCGCCGTTCCTTCATTGTCACTGGGTCAAAATCCTGGAATTCCCTCCCTAAGGGTATTGTGAGTCAAATTACAGCACATGGACTGCAGCAATTCAAAAAGGCAGCTCACCACCACCTTCTCAAGTGCAACTAGGGTTGGGCAATAAATGCTGGCCAGCCTGTGATGCCCACATCCCATGAGTGAATATAGAACATAGAACATAGAACAGTACAGCACAGTACAGGCCCTTCGGCCCACCATGTTATGCTGACCTATTATCCTAATCTAAGATCAAACTAACGTGCATACCCTTCATTTTACTATCATCCATGTGTCTATCTAAGAGTTGCTTAAATGTCCCTAAAGTATCTGACTCTACCACTGCTGGCAGTGCATTCCAGCACGCACCACGCTCTGTGTAAAGAACCTACCTCTGACATCTCCCCTATACCTTCCTCCAATCACCTTAAAATTATGCCCCCTTGCGATAGTCATTTCCGCCCTGGGAGGAATATGTAAAAAAAAACACAATGGCTGGCTTCCAGAAGTGCCACTGAAGCCTCACCTCATTGCTGCAGCCTTTAAC